TCCCCACGCTTGCTCGCGCGGCCAGGTGGCGCGCCGCGTCGCGCGCTACCTGGGCCAGTTCGAGGTGGCCGGGGCCAGCGGCGCATTCACCCGGGGGACGCAGTGGCTGGTGTGGCGCTTTGAGTCGGACGCCACCCTGGCAGATGCCATGGCCGGCCTCCTGGATGGCGGGATGGAGGTGTGGCGCGAGGGGGCGGGAGGCTGAGGGGGGCCCCCCGGGTGGTGGGCGGGAGGGGGACGCGCGGTGCACCACACCCCCGCATATCACGTTGACGGAGCGCCTTCTGTCTTCCCACTCAGCACCCCTCCGCACCTGCATCCACTCCAACTGCAGACCAGTCTGGGCCGCATCATGCTGGGGCCACGCTCAGACTCCATGCCGGACCAGAAGCGCCATCTGGCACTGACCAAGGCCGTCATGCGGAAGCTGCTAAAAGGTTAGCCCCATGGCTCTTGTTGTTGGCGTTGGGCAGGAGCATGGCGGCCTGACGCCGGCACTGCCACGACCCCGGCCCCGTCGTTCATGGCACTCTGTGGCTGCCCAGGGCATGTCCTTCATCCTGTGTCCGACTTCCATCTTTCCCCAACGGCCCCAGCGCTGCAACGGCTGCACTCTCTGGGTATCGTGCATCGAGACGTGAAGCCGGACAACGTCCTTGTGACCAGCAAGGGAGACGTACGGCGATGGTTTTACATAGACTGGAAACGTGCCCGCTTGCTGCGATGTGAGGGGGCCTGCGGGACTTTGGTCGTCCCTGTTTTCTGGAGGGGTATGGGGAGATTGAGGTACACCGCTCACTCAAAGGGCCCCAAAGTCTTGCTCCCTGCGCACAGATCAAGATCATCGATTTTGGGGCGGCGTGCGACCTGAGCACTGGAGTGAACTTCAACCCCCTCTACGGCATGCTGGACCCTCGATACGCTGGTGAGCTGGGGATTTGGTGCTCAGGGGCCCAGCCTGTCATGCAATGCCGTGGCAGGCACGTTCACCGTGCACCTTGGTTGGGAGGAAGTACCTGCGGAGACTGCAGGGTTTAGTGGAGTAGCCATCAACATTTGTGACCCCTGCAAGGAACGACCTATGCGTCCCAACTCTGCTCACTGCGCAGCACCTGAGCAGCTGGTTCTGCCAAAGGCCGTCCCAAGGGTGCCAGCACCCTTTATTGCTGTGCTCCTGGCCCCATTCCTGTGGAGGCTGGGAAGGCCAGACCTCTTTGACTCGTACGCTGCCGGCATCATCCTCCTCCAGGTGGGCAAGGGACTGGAGAATAATAGAGGCCACACGACCGGCCTGGAAGCTGATCATGGCGAGTGGCACTCTGTCTCCATGCTGGCTTGGGACGCATGCGGAACTGCGGTGAAGCCTTCAACTCCGCCATGGCCCCCCTCACTCCCCACAACCCATGTGCAGATGTCGATCCCTCAGCTGCGCTCCGCAGGCTCCCTCAAGGCCTTCAACAAGGAACTCGCAGCCGCCGATTACGACCTTGATTTGTGGAGGAGGCGGTCCATGCGAGTACAGGCATGTGACTTTGAGGTGCTGGACGCAAATAACCAAGCAGGTGAGAGGACGGCTGGCATGCATGCATCGGTGTGCTTCTGAGATGGCTGTGGGCTGTCGGGAGCGCCTTTGTGTTGTGGCATGCGCAGTGGCAAGCAGACCCATACATGGCTATCGCAGGCTGGGATCTGGCATGCAAGTTGGTGTGCAAGCGCAATGCCGTATATCGTGGAAGGCTGTCCCCTGGAGAGGCATTGCGTCACAGGTTCCTGCTGCTCTCTTGACCCAGAGGCTGGCCATGCATCCTCACCGTCCTCTAAAGAGCTTGAGAGGGTGAATTTCGTTGATTCTATGGTCACGTCTGTTCATTTGTGGCAGGCATAATCGGTGGACTGTACTGCTCAATTGAGTGTGTAGAGTGCCAGCTAAACACCGTGTGGGTGTGCCACTGCGAGCCATCATCGTTGAGCAGCGACGGGTGCTCTCGAGAATGTTCTAAGATTGATTTCGTGACAGACTCGGTATAGTATCCCGCAGCATGCAAGTCTCCTGAGTAGAGGCCCCGTCGAGACCCGGCCTGCTCCGGGTGGAGTGGGCAATCTTGCTGCGAGCATGGGCAAGGGACTGCTGCTCGCCAGCACATTCTGCAGCGGTCTGGGTATCTTCCTGGGAGCCAAGCAGGGCTACATCAACCAGCACATTGCCCTGGTAGCGCTGGTGGTGTGGGTGCTCGTCATTCGGCACATTGGCCAGCCGAGCACTGAGGACTTGGCGGACGAAGTGAGCCGGGAGCACCAACGGCAGCAGGCGAAGAAAACGACATGAGGGCCCGGCATGGGCGTTCGCATCCATAAGCACGTCGTAGAGCCGGGCCATATGCCCTTGGCTCCACATGCCATGCACAACTTCTTGTGCCTAGGGGAAAGCTGCATTACAAGCATTGGTGTGGTCTACAAGCCCATATCGATCATGAAGAGCCTTCAAGACCCGTCTTGATACATGAACATATCACATGTGTATTCATGATGGTCATTCTCCGAGCGCACGGGCTGCGGCTTCCTTGTCGGCTGTAACAGGGTCAGCGGAGGTGTACTCCTCAGTTCGGACCGGTTCTAAGCGATGCCCTTCTGTCTCACGGACTCCAGTTGATAATTCAATGCTGTACGCTGGAGGATCAAGTGACAGGTCCACTGCAACGACCTATTTTGCATGAGTGCCAAGACGGGTAGTGCTTCAGGATCTCATATGTGTGATGCAGCACTGCATTGTAGCGTCATACAAATGCAGATTGCCCCTCACCTCTCCAGTCAGCATGAGAGCATGTCCCGACCCAGCCCTGGCCTGCCTCACCTTGGCTGGCACTTGACTCCTATCTCTCTGAGTATAGAGTACTGCATCGTCCTTCCTGAACTGCCTTGCTGCAGCTCCCACGCCGTTTAGGTCAGGTGTCCTCGCGCCAGACCCATCCTCTCTGGCTCCGGCACTGCTGGTCACCGCAGCGATAGCATTCCTGGCAGCATCTCCACTTCCCGTGAACTGATGAAGCCTGCTCCTCTCAGATGTGCCTCCTAGCCTTTGTCCCTTGACAGGATGTGCCCCGCTGGGCAGAGATGATTTCGCAAAGTCCAGACTCGCGGCTTCACTGGTCCATTCTCCAGAGGTGCTTGCGTGTCGCTGCAGTCGCTCACATTCGGATCGTAACTGGATGTAGGAGGAGGAACCCAGAGATTGAGGTGGGCACATTAAAATGAAAATCTCACTCCTATGCCCGCATTTGTGATCTGGCAATATAAATGAGCTTGATCCGAGATTACAACCCAATCCCCAGGAGCAACTCTCAGGATAGCCCAGACATAGGTATCCAAGGAATGCACTTTGCTCTTCTCATGCGTCCACTCACCTCGGAGTTGAGGGTCTTGAAAGCATTGTCGTGCTCTGAGTGCACCATGTGGGCAAGCTCATGCATGAGGGTCTCACAGATCCTGTCGTACCTCCGGAAGCCTGCAGGGCACAGCAATGCACGGACAAAGAGTTGTGAACACAAAGGAGCGATCTTGATCATATCAGCATGGGCTGAACACTTGAGAGCGGTGCAAAAGAAGGCTTCCACTTTACTTCTCACCCTCCCTCGAGCCAATCTGCGACCATCGTCCTCAACACCAGTCAAACGATACAGTTCTCCTCAGCAAAGATCACAGGCCTACTTTCACATCATTGCGCCCACCTCTCAGATCATCCGTGCGCAGCCGAAGGGATATCTCCTGGCCTGCATTGATGTTGACGCCGAGGATGCAGGCGGGAGAGACACCCACCTTGCCCTCAGGCGGCATCTCGCTGAGCGTGCCCACTCGCCACCGATGACTTGACATCACTCCCTGGACCCCCGGGTCCGCCGCAAGTCTGTTGTAGAGAATGTGGCTGGGTCACTTTGTTGTCATGAATAGAATTTTCAGGTTGAGGCGCGTGTTGCAAGCTTGGCCCCACCTCCAATATGTGTGCAAACTGCACTGTGACCCTCCCAGCGGCACCTATGGAGGAAGGCGAGGGCCTCTGCTGGGGATGGTGTCAGTCCAGGGGTCTGCCAGGCCCTGAAGTTGGTGAAGGTATACGGGCCTGCCGGGGGGGCACGGGGGTGGGCGACTCCCGCACGCCTGGCGGCCTCCCTACGCAGCTCGTGATCAAATCCCGCGATGCGCGGCTCATCTGGTGGGTTGAGGGTGGTGTTGCTGTAAGCAGACCCGCATCAGTGCTTGGGTACAGCTGCGGGGCCGCTTTCACGGGCAGCTACCAAGTCAGCCATCCCCCACTGACCCTTGGCTGACATGACGGCGCCAACTGCTGCAGCGCTGCTCCCCAGCACTCGATATGTGGCCCCCGATGTCACGCCTGTGGACGATTTCGGAAGGATGTGAGATATCTGTGAGTACACCCGACGACATTGGTACCCTGCACTGCCCAGCCGGCGCATGCCTGCCCTGCCTCACCAATGTCCACAATGCGAGCATCGATGTGGTCTCTCAGCCAAATCAGGCCCCCACGTTTGGGAGGGAGAAGCAGCTTAATAGTGTCCTGGGAGAGATCAAAATTCCTCAAAATGATGTTTACCAGGTCCAACACAGAGGCTTGGTAGGGTAGCGTCACCTGCAGGCTCTTGCCGGAGTATGTGATCTGAAACTGGGTGGTGGTCGTGGCCATCTCAAACGAAGTATTTGACATTGTTTATTGAATTCTTTATTCTTATATGTAGGAATGAATAATTCAGAAAAGCGTGTGCGTCAGTCCTATGTTTGTTGCTCTCGGAGAAGTAACCCGTCCCCCCCCCTTCCCATCTAGTTTCTTCCATGCGCGAGCTCACCTCGCCCTCACCCATGCGCGCGTGAAAGCTTGCGCTTCGCCACGGTTTCCACAAATAGTAGATAGAAGAGAATAGTGCATCTCCCTTTTGGACTTCACGTCGCCCATCACCACTTAGGACTCGCGCTATGAACCTCCAGGGACAGGACTGGAACAGCGTGAGTAGGGTACCCGGGAACGCCTCGCATTAACTCTTCGAAAGCAATACGGATATGGGAAGGCAAACGTTCTCCTCGTCGCTCCTCCCAGGTGGTCCTCCGAAAGAAGGCTCCCACAGCGTCCACCGCACAGTCTGCCGCGGTTGTCAATGCTGCACTGCAATCAGGTAGGCTATTATATACTGAACGTGCCTGAACTTGGCCTGGGTGCAGTCAGAGGTTGGAGTCCTCACTCCTCCCCTCCGGCACTATCCCGCAGGCGCTGCCGTGAGCACCGTCAAGAAGCACGATGCGGGGTCCAACAAGGCGAGAGCAGGCAACCCCAATGCTGTGAAGCTGGACGCAGAAACCGAGGATTTCCATCACGAGCAAGTGAGCTCGGAGCTCAAGAAGCAGATCCAGCAGGCCCGCCTGGCCAAGAAGCTCAGCCAAGCACAGGTGGGCGGCACAGAACTGGCAGGGTGATTAGAGTGGGTCATTCGGTTGTCTTGGCGGGTTGGTTGGTTTGTGGACTGTGTAGGGGAGCACTGAGTGGCATAGCATGTGGTGTGCTCCCAACTTGACTGACACCCGACCCCCCCCCCCCCACCCACACACACCTTGCAGCTAGCTCAAATGATCAATGAAAAGCCCCAGGTGATCAACGAGTATGAGGCAGGGAAGGCCATTCCCAATCCCCAGGTGGGAGGACACAGATGGCTGTGCATGGGGCTCTGTACCTGGCTTGAGTCGGGTCCAAGCTGTTGTCGCACTGCTCCGGTCCTGGTTGTCAGACTGGTCCTGGTTGTCAGACTGCATGCTGGCAGCGTCTCTTGCCTGGACACAGCAATTCCTACAGCGTCCACTTCCAACCACCCCTCTCTCCCTTCCTCCACAGATTTTAGGAAAGCTGTCGCGTGCCCTAGGGGTGACCCTGCGGAAAAATCCTGGCAAGAAGTAGATGACCAGATAGACGCCATGCAGTGCTTTGCCATCCACAATGTGGGCGCATGCTCTGGCGGGCCATGGCACCCAAAGATACAGGCCTCCAGGATGCTTCAATTCAATCTATAATTGTCGGTGAAGAGGTCTCAGTGGTGTACACTGCACACAGGAAATTGTTGTGGATGCAATCAGGAGCACACCATAGCTGGAGTTACTCTTTTGGGAGTGGTAGCTTGGGATGGAACAGAGTAAGATTCCACACATAGAAGGCGGCCATTCCTCCATCCGAAAGAATACTTAGCGCTCCAGCCAAGGAACCTGGCCCGCTTGCTGTGAGGGTGCGGGAGAGCAATGCCGCTGCCAGCACTGCAGTGCCCAGGGGGATTACAGGGTTGGTATGGGAACCCGAGACCAGCAGGCCCCATGCGAGGAATTCAACGTCCTCTGCTCATCACAGTCCACGCACCACATGCCCCTGACTGACCAAGGGAGAGGACTGCAGTCACATGCGCTCTCCTGCCCTGTTTGTACGCTTTTAGGCTGGTGTAACCCAGGAGGCCCAGCGCGGCGGCACTGCCCAATCCCTGGCCTGCAAAAGGTGTGTGCTCTCTTCTGTCGTGGCCATCTCCTGCCGATGTCAGGGGGTTCTGGACCATCCCATCAGACTACCATCTCGCACAAACCTATGTGAGCAGTGCTAGGGGACGCCAGCCACCAAATAATCTCCCGCACCGCGACGAGCAGTGCGTAGGGGAGGGTGAGACAAAAGTCGTGCATGTCAAGGTGCAATGCTGTGCTTCCGGGGTAGCAGCCATGCACACGGTGCACTTTTTAAAACACGAACGTGAGGCATCACATAGTGCACAGCTGAACGTCCTCGGCACTGCGTCTCGAAGGCGTACGCCAACTAAGAACCATGCCTCTGCTCCTGGGAAATGTGCCCACATGCACGGATCTGACCACATGTGACACCTCGTTCACAGTGCGCCCACAGCACCGATCATATCATCGGGTTGCAAATGTAATGAATGCAATTTCAGAGGCAAGATCGCGTGGGCCATTCTTTGCATATTGAATGGAACCCCCTTGAGGGCATCTCCACCGCCGAGCGTGGATAGTCCCTCTCCGGATCCAGGACATGGGTTCCGGAGCTACGGCATGTGATTTCGGGATGTGTGGCCCCAATCTGAACGCAATTCACGCGCGGCGCCCAGGGGCGTGCAGAATGCATGCCCCCGGTGGCCTGAGGCTCATGCATGGATGGCATGGGTTACCTCGAAGCCATGCTGGCCCGGGCAGCGAGATCCTGACGGGAATTCCGCAGGGCGAGGCGATGGCCCCCCTCTCCATGGCCATCCGGCCTGTGCCTGGAGTGGGGCCTTCCATCCTGCCCAGTCCCCTCTGGTCGACCTACTGTGGCGTGAACGAGGGCGTCTGGCTGGGGTCCGCCCGCGCCTGCAATCCTGCCTCTGGTGAGGAGCCCCTCAATTCTGAGCGTGTGCGCACCACCACCACCATATTTACCGCATGCTTGCATGCCATTGGATCAACCCCACACCCCGACCTGCCCTCGCTGGGGACTGGCTGGTGTGCATTCTGCATGCAACCCGGCACGCCCTGCCCGCTCCTCACAGGCGCGGCGGAGGGCGTGGGGTTGGACGAGGAGGGAGGCACCGTCTTCACCCTGGCCCGGGTGGTCCTGCAGCGCCGTGTGGCCGACGACGCAAGCGACTGCCTGGTGACGTGCGTGGAGGGCGTGGGGATGAGACTGCTGGGGCGCGTGGAGTGAGGGGCCTGGAGCCCTCGCGGGCAGCCCTCCTCTCCAATCACAGTGCACCTAGGCCCGCCGGACCCAACCGTGCCGCAGCACGGAGGCGCACGGGCTGGGGCCCGGGGACACACCGCGCGTGCTGGAGCAGGTGGCGGGGGCGGGGAGGGACGCGGACCTGGACGGGGCAGAGGGTTGGGAGGCGCACTGGCACGACAGCGAGGACCCGGGCCTGTTCTTCTTCGACGGCGGCAGCCACAGCCTGGGGCCATCCTCCCTGCTGGGTGAGCCGCGGAGTGTGGGCTTGGGGGGGCAGCCTGGCTGTGTCAGCCTGTTCGAGGCGTGTCCCTTGCGGCAGCAATGGGGGGCGTCGCCTGCACCCACCCAGAAACCTGTTCTTACGAGCACGGTGACAACCCTCCTGCCCGACATGCCCCCAGGCGGGGATGAGGATGCTGCCGACGCCGGGGCCCCGCCTCCGGCAGCGGCCCCCGGCGTGCACCTGCTGGAGCACTGCCTGGCGTGGGGCAGCGACCACCGCCTGCGCGTCTCGCTCCTCTGCGAGACGGCGCGGGACGGGCGGGGGCGCCTCGACCTGGCCCCCCTGCGCCTGGGCGTGGCGGCGGAGCGCTGGCTGGGCGTGCCGGGCGTGTGGGTGGAGGCGTCCGTCCCGGGGCGCGCTGCCGACCCCGCCTCCCTCCTGCCGCCGGGCTGCGCGCCGGGCGCCCTGCCGGCCGCGGCGTTCGCCGGGCGCTGGCGGCGCTGTGGCGTGTTGGCCAGCCTGGTGGAGGGCATCAGCCCCTCCACGGGGGAAGTGGAGATGCTCAAGGTGTTTGAGGCCGTGGAACAGGAGGTGGCCGCCGCCCCCGACAGCCATCGGGCAGGGCCACACGAGGGCGGCGTGGCCCTGCTGCTGGCCCCCGCGCTGCTGGTTCAGCTGGAGGCGTCGGGGGAGGGAGGGGTCATGCTGCGCACGCTGTGGCGCGCCGACGAGGGCGTGGTGGTGGGCATGGAGAGGGAGCACGACGGCCGGGGGGAGCTGGTGCGGGTGCTATTTACCACGGCCATGGCCCAGCCCGCCGGCGAGGGGGGGGTTTGAGGCCGGGGCCGAGCACACGGGTGAGTATGCCTTCCTCGGGATCCGATGGCATTGTGCCTGTTTGCCGGCGGATTTTGCCCCGCGCACGGCGTCGCTCATCTCGCGATGCCCCGGGCTTCAAGATGCAACCCCCATGTATGGATATCGAGGACCTCGTTCGCGAGGCCTTGGCCCCTCCCGACCAATAAGGGGAGCACCGCTTGTTGTTGAGAGGAGATTGTTTGCAGCAAGAGTTGGGAGCAGGCTTGCTGCAGGGGCAGAGGCAGCCACGAGAAACAGTAGTGGAGCGGACGGAGAAGAAGGGCTTGGAAGAGCATGGGGACTGCAACAAGCCATAGGACAAGGCATTGCTGTGCAAAGGGGTGAGGGATATGAAGCAGACTTTCGCTCGGTCCCTGGCGCATTGTCGGGCATGAAGCATTGCATTATTGGAAGGCGGTTCAGGGTTGAAATGCGCCCAGAGAGGGGGTGGGGTGGGGTGGGTTCACGCTCCTACGCCGCCACTCACACTCTCCAGCAGGCCATGTGTGGGAGTCGTGCCGGGCAACTCACGACACCTCCAGCCCAGCAGCACGCCCCTCGCCGTCACATTGGAGGCGTGGGCTGCTTCAGCGAGTTGTAGAGCTTGGCGACAACGTTGACGGCGGAGATGGCTTTGGCCAGCGAGGGCGGCCGCCAGGGCCGGGCCTTGTCCTCCGGCCCGGGCCTGTCCCGCCCCAGCGTCACAAACGCCTCCTCCAGCGTGTCGTCCGGAGTGGCGGAGGCGTGGCGCACGTACCCAAGTCCAGCACAGGAGGTGCAGGTGATGAGGGCGGCTCGCCGTGCGCCCCCGCGCCCTCGGCGGTGCCGGGACGTGCTGGCGTGCGTTTGGCTGCGGGAGAAGCCCGTCCCGAAGCAGCACTTGCACTTGACCTCCCACACAAACATGGGGGTGGGGCACTCCTGCGTCTCAGCGTTGCACGTCTGCTCTTTGAAGGTCAACACCTGTGGTAGGTGGGGCGGGAGACTCGGTGGCATGCCCTGCGTATGGCGAGCGTGACAACCGGATCACCTCAGAAAGCACCACAGGCTCGGCAACTGAGGCCTGAAGACACATCACAACGTGCCTCTCCGTCTGGTGGAAGATCCTCCATGGGCGTGAACATGGTCGTCGGGAGGTGGGCCCGTCTGCAGGGAGGGGGGTGGGCAGGAGCAAGAGCCTGAGCCTGAGCCAGCGACCCAATCTTGCGAGGGAGCTGGCATCCCCGCTCCCCCAAGCCTTCCACAAGACACGCATTGACTCACTTTGGTGGGCCACCGAATGGAGCATGACTCCGTGGCTGGTCTATGGGCTGACCCTTCTGGGTCAGGGGGACCCGCTGAGGAGGTGGGGTGGCCCTCAGTGGTGGGACGGTCTGGGGTCGGGAAGGGGCTAAGCCTGCATCCACTGCACAGCGAGGGCTCTGCCAGAGCCGTAGTCTGGTCCCCATGACACCAAGGTCACCATTGTGTGTCTTTTGTTTATGGGCGACAGAGGCGCATCCGGCCTGCAGATGTATCCTCAAAGGACCTTCGCCCCCACGGTTTTCGAGGGCGCGCCCGTTTGTATGGTCTGTCAGCACGCGCACTGAACTCGAGCATTAGGCCTGTCTGGGTGCTTGCCAAAGAAGAATCACTGATTGCTTACTCTGAGTGTCTCACATTCTCTCAGGTTGAATGAGAAGAAGCCTCAGGAATGTATGGTGTTGACACTCTCGCATGGCATACTTGCTGGAGACATGAACCCTCAGCATGCGACTGCCAAGGCTTGGTAAGGACCCATTATCAGCTATCTAGCTTCAACATAGAGATAAATATGTACTTAGCTAGCTGATCAAGTGGGCAGATGGCAGGATGGCGCACCCAAGCCCCCTTCATTTGGACAACTGAAAGTTGGAAAGCAGGACGCGCTGAGCGACCCATGGAACAGGGCTGGCGAGGTTAACACCGCCGAGTGCTGGGGACTTGATATTCGACTCCTTGCTTACAGCCCCTTCCATACGTGTATCAAGGCGCTGAAGCTCAGCTGCACTCTCTCCGGACGAGCGATGGAGACTTCCTGCGAGACAGCGTGAAGCACGCTCAACCACCTGCCTCACTTTCGCTTCCGGGAGGAAGCGCTGCGATGTCGGCAGCCAATCGGATCAGCCTTTTTGGATCCAGTTCCAATGATACGGGATGGCAGGTGGCCATCTTCACGGTACGCGGTGGTGGCCTTGCGGTGTTGGCAGGTCGTTCCCGCAGCCCTTGGCCGGGCGGCAGATGGGATTGGTTACGGTGCCAGGCCCCGATCATCGACAGGCTGCACAATCGCACTCGCAGGTGGTCAAACGCCTCGGCCGTCGATTCGGATTTCAGGCCTTCAATATTGATCCCCGCACGGAGGTGAGTTCGAATGGTGCCAGCAATCGCGGGTCGGCTGTCTGCTGCCATGCAGGACATTGCGCTTCAGCCAAGTTGGGCAATGAGATGCACAACCAATCACCCCACAGGGCACCGAAAAGCCATCCTGGACGCCTGCTACCATCTTCCTGGCCACAGATCACTTGTATCACCTTCTCGTAAAGAATTATATGCGGAGGGACAAGGACACAGGCGCGTCCATTGCTGATGGCTACATCAATGTTCATGGAGTGGGGGGCGTGGTGATCGCCTGCCTCTGTGCAGAATTCATCCTGGCCGTACGCCGCCATACTCCTCCGTAGGTGACGACATGGATCGATTTGCACGCGCCGTGCATCGCCTGCACGCCGCCATTTTCCAGGGCTACCGCGACTGGTGCTCACATGTGGGACTGCCCCTCCGCATACCGGAGCTCAAGCTGGCCAAGATCCACAGGCCGCACACTATACAGGCAAGGTGGAAGATTTTGCACAGGGTGACGGTGGTCAGTGTGAGCCCCGGCACATGTGTCCTCGATTGCCTTCTTGGTAGGGCAACGATGGTCAACCTCGATTTTGGCACCGATCAAAGCATCGATCCCCTTTACCATTGTGACTACAACTGTCGTCCTTGGCACAGGAGTGGGAGTATGGACTGGAGGAGCTGGCCATGTACTTCCTGGTGTACTCGGAGGCAGCCAACCTGCGGCACACTCCGGAGTGCCTCTGGTTTGTCTTCTGGATCTGCCGCAACTCCTTCCACAGGTGGAACGGTGCCTCCTGCCCAAACCCGATGCACCCCTCCTCGCCCATCTTTGCATGTGAGTGGCGTTTGTAGTCCATGGCATGCACTTCTGGATTTCACAGGCTGTGCTGTTTTGTTATGTTCCACCACCCCATCTCTGCTTCAGGCTCTCCGAGGGCTCCTCCTGCCAAGGTTGAGCCACACCTTTTCCCATCCTGATGACCACCAATCCCCCGCCGTGCCTTTGACAGACGAACACCTGAAGCATGCTGATGTCATCCAACGAAACATCAGTCTCCGCAACCGGCACCATGCTGAGCTGATGGCCGCTATGGCTGCTCTGGGCACCACGCCTGACCTCGTGGACGAAACGGTAAGTATGTACGTCATCGTGTCATCTTGGTGCAGTATCTGAGGGTGCAAGGGCCGCCGTCACCTCCTTCCGTCTCCATGCACGGTTGGAAGGGCTGGGACGTCAAGCTAATCCTATTCCCCTGGTGTCCCCCAAGAAGGATCTTACCTGCGCCCATCATTTCCATCCCCAAGCCAGTGATCAATCGTGAAATCCACGAGCCTCGCCACAGCTGCTTCCCATTCTCCTCCCACCAAACCTTCCTCCCCCTATGTGGCAACACGCAGCGCGAGTCCATGGCCCTGACAGCCCTGGTCCACACCGGGTCCATCCAGCCAGACTCACCCGACGGCGCGGCCCTGGCGGACATGGCGGCGCACGGCGACGCGGGCTACTTCCTGGACCGGGTGGTCTCGCCCATCTTTGCCTTCCTGGCCGTTCATGTGGACAGGATGGGGACGGATGGGGTGGAAATCGCCCACCGCATCGCCTACGATGACGTGAACGAGAGTCTGTGCCGCAGGAACATCGTCGCCCAGGTGAGGTTGTTAGGATGGGGAGGAGGGGGGGCTGTGCGCAGTGCTGACTGGTCTATGGGTGGCCGAAGAGTGTAGGGCAATGCGGCATGGCAGAGGCATGTACATTCCCCCTGTGGTGTGGCTGCCCTGCGCAAGCCCATCTTTATCTCGTCATGCCCAGCCCACTCACCAGCTCCCTTCACACCCCCACCCCCACTCTCCTCCCTCTACCCCCATCAGGCCCTGCTGCGCCTGGGCGTCAGGGTTGGGCCGGGCGGGAGCATCGCCATGTCCCGCGACCCCTACGATGCCCTGCTGGGCATCGGCAGGGTCCAGATCAGCGTGGAGGGGCAGCCTATCGCCAAGCTGGCGGCGGGGCGGCTGGACACGGAGGGCATGGGGGGCGTGGGCTGGAACGTGGAGGTCGCGCGCGACTGGTGGGGCGCGTTTGTGTTTAGGAAGACGTTTGTTGAGCGGCGCAGCATCTTCACCATGTACAGGTCCGAGGTGTTTCTGTTTTTGGGGGGGGGGAGCAGGGAGGGGGGTGTGGGTGCAAGTCATGCCGCCATCCAACGCCAACTCGATGCACAAGGGTTGATCCTCCCCGCCTGCGCAGAGCATTCTACCGCGTCTGGGCCTTCATCCTCCTAGAGTTCCACCTCATGGCCGTCCTCACCTGGGGCCGCGACAACTAGTGAGTCTTTTGTGGGGGCGAGGGGTGGGGGAACGCAGGCAGCGCTGGGGTTGAGTCAGCGATGGGGGATGGGCTGTCGACGTCCGTTCATGAGGGGCGCGCCATGCACGTCATGCCGCCGCCCATGCCCTCCCGCAGCTACGCGATCTCCTCCCTGGCCATGAGCCACGCCCTGCTGAGCTTCCTGGAGCAGGTCGCCGCCTTCTGGACGCAGCGCGCCTCAGGTGGGCCAGGCCTGGCCGGGAGGGCGCTTTGTGTGTGTGTGAGGGGGTGCGCCTGCCGTGCCGCCCAGCGCAGTCGGGAAATGCCCCTCCGCCCTGGCCGATGACATGGCACCAGTCCCCCCGCCCCCCCGCTCCTCCTTCCCTGCGCCCAGTTGGGGGCCCTCGCGTGGCGGGCGGGGCCATCTCTGGGCGTGCCGCCCTGGGCGTGCTCCAGTGGCTGGCCATCCTGTGCGTTATGGCCCTGCTCATGGCCGCCCAGGTGATCGGCTGGTGGGTGTTCGGCGAGTACCACATCTGGTGGTGGGCTGCGGCAGGATACGGCGGCCTGGTTGTGGCCCAGGCACTGCTGTCTACCCGCCCGGGGCACGCGGTGTCGCTGACGCACTCGGCGGCGGCCCTGGCGCGCCGCGCCCGCGCCCGCTCCTGGTGCTTCGGCTGGGGCTGGGACTGCGTCGCATGGGGCTTCGAGCTGCTGGGTGCCTCCTCGGCGCGGCCGCCGCCTGTGGACCACGTCGCGCCCTACGACATGCGGGTGGGTGTGCGGCGCGCGGGGGGACTCTTGGGGGGGGTAAGGTGGCGGGGGGAGGGTGGGTGGGATGAGGGGGGCGGCCAGGGGTAGAGGGCCCGGCGGGAAGCATGTCCAGAGGCTGCACGAAATCGGAATCACGAGTCCCTGGCCCCGGAGTCGCGTCCACCCACCGTGACTCCAGCCGTGCCTCTTCGCCCCAGACCCCCACGTCCATCCCTCCCCTCCACCCCCCCTCCTCTGGCCCCTCCTTCCCCAGGTGAGCTGGGGCACCTGGCTGAGCAACGTCGTCTTCTGGGCCCTGGTGCTGGGCATGAAGGGCGCGTTCGACTGGTACGCGGTCTTCCGCACCCTGGACACCTCCATCCTGGGGCTGTGGAACCGCGGCTGGCTGCCCCTCTCCTCGGACGGCCGCCTGGACGGCGACCTGGTGCTGTGCATCGCGCGCGCGCTGCCGGCGCTGGTCATCATGGCCACCGACGCTCAGGTGTTCTACTACCTGGTCACCGCGCTGTTTGGCTGGGTCAAGGGCCTGGTGCAGCTCAACCTGGGGGCGGTGACCGGCTTCCAGGAGGTGGTGGCCACCTTCCACAAGGCGCCCGCCCAGTGGTGGCGCGCGGGCGTGTCGGCCGCCGGCGAGGCCGGCATCGCCGAGGCATTTGCGGCGGCGCGCCGCGGCGGCGGCAATGCGACGGGGCGCTCGCCCGCGCCGGGCGCGCGCCGGGCGGGTCGGCCGGCGCCAGCCGCTCGCCCTCGCCCAGCCCCGAGGTGCTGGGCCAGCGGCGCCTGGACCGCGGCCAGCTCACCCACATCCAGCGCCTGCTGGAGGACGGGCGCGAGGCGGTGCTGCGCGCGCTGGGCGAGGGCGGCGCGCCCAGCGCGCGCGCGCCGCCCGACGGCGACGCCGCGCCGAGCTGGGTCCTCTTCTCCGACGTCTGGAACGAGGTGGTGGCCGAGCTGCGCGAGGTGGACCTCATCAGCAACGCGGAGCGCGACAACCTGGTCTTCGTCCACCTCGACCTGGAGCCGGGGGTGGAGGCGGTTCGCGGTATGCGCCCCTTCATGCTCCCCGTCTTCTTCTACGGCGGCCAGGTCAGCCGCGCCCTGGAGGTGCCCGGCATCAACTCCGCGCAGAAGGTGGGGAGGGAGGTGGGGGGAGGGGGCGTCGGGCGCCGAGCACGAGCGTGCTGGTGGGGCGCAGAGTGCCCCGCTGGTACGGTGCCGGGTCCCATGGGCGGTGCCCCTGCTGTGCGCCCTCCAAGCTCGGCCCCCGGCGCTGCAGGTGGGGCGTGGGGGAGGATGCGCATCCTCATCGTCTGGCTGGTGCTGCAGCTGCGCATCGTCGACCGCGAGCAGGTGGGGGGGTGCGCTGCTGGCCGATGGGCGCAGGCCTTGTGCGCAGACCGGCAAAGGGGCGAGTGCGGCCTGCCTCGCACCTGGGCCCCCTTGCTGAGCGTCGTTTGGGCCTCGCAGGGCAAGCACAGCCCCGAGCATCCCCCTGCATGTGCGACTCGCAGTCCAACGTGCTGCTGGACTTCAAGCCTCTGGAGGGGCCCCTGGACTTGGAGCAGCGCACCGCACGGCGCTCGGCCGTGGCGGCAGTAGGCGAGCTGCTCAAGCTGCTCAAGACCATAATGGTGAGGGGTGGAGGGCGGTGAGGGTTTTTTTGGGGGGGAAGGGGGGGTGGAGGCAAAGGAGGGTCGTGTAGCAGTCCAGGGAGGCGAAGGAAGGGGGCTGAAGGAGTGCCACTGAGCGACGGTGAAAGGGCAGACGGATACATGACGGAGTATCCTGCCGCATGCCCTCCTGGCCTGCTGGCGTGGAACGATGCCGGTCGCACTCGTGTCACCGCGCCGCATCCACGCTCCCAGGCCAAGGCCCCGGATGACGCCGCGCTGCGCACGCGCTGGGAAGCCTCCCAGAAGATGCATGGCTGCCTGGTCAAGCTGGCCGCCGCCCTGCGCATCGAAATCAAGGTTTGTGTGAAGCGGAGGGCAGTGGCCAGGGGAGCGTGGGTGGGGTGCTGAGCCGTGGCGTGGCCAAGGGGGGTGTGGGGTTGCCAGGTTGGATGGTCAGGCATAGCTGACATGCATGCCAGTGCTGTGGTGCGCACCACATGCCCTTGGGAATGGGGGTTGGGGGTCCAGGGTGGGGGGAAGGGAGTACACGTCCCTCCTGGAGGTGCCCTTCGCCCTTGGAGCAAGGCCTTTGTGAGTGTGGCTTCTTCGGAGCTCTGCCACCCGAGCTGGCGGCGTTCAGTGTCGGCTGGCCTGCAACCCGCCCCGCCCCATGCCCCTCCCTCGCCCCCGGCCTGGACCCCCCGAACTCACACAGGCCGTCCTGCGCGTGCACTCCCGCTCCGCGCGCGGGCCCGACGAGAAGGACTCGAGCCGGCGCACGCACAGCGCGGCGGTGGCCCTGGACCGCGCGCTGGACGCGCTGTCGGCGGGCCTGCTGGACTTCTGGCGCTGGTGCGAGTTCGTGGGCGAGGCCGCAGGCCTGGCCACGCTGCACGCCGACGCCCCCGACTCCGCCGCGCGGCGCTGTGTGGCCGCGGTGGCGCGCCAGCTGGAGCGCATGCTGGACACGAGCGCCAAGGGCGCGCAGCCGCGGGGCGACGAGGCGCTGCGCGTGCTGACGGGGTTCATGAGCAGCCTGCGCAACCCGACGCTGGCGCGGCCGCCGGCGGTGGAGGACATGCTGAGCTGGAACGTGCTGACCCCGCACTACGAGGAGGACGTGATGTACGCGCTCAACGCGGCCAGCGTCGCGCGCCACTTCGACCTCCAGCCCTCCGCCGCCACGGGCATGGCGGACCTGGTGCGCGAGAACGAGGACGGGCTGTCGGTGATGCAGTGGCTCAAGTCGGCCTACGCGCGCGAGTGGGACCACCTGCTGGAGCGCCTGGGGCCCGCGCTGAATGGCCTGGAGCCCAGGTGTGTGGGGGTTTGCTTTGGGG